TGACATGGAGTGGGGCTGGAGCCTTCATTTGGTTCAGGCTGGAGTATGCACATAGACAATACTGGGAAACGCATCAGCTGCAGGAGCAGTCCTCTCTCCATCTCTCCTTCCTGTCTCAGGGGAAGGCACTGTGTCTCCTCTCCTCTTGAGCGGACTCCAAGATTTCCACAGCCATCCTGTTAGTCTCAGAAGTCCTCCAACCAGCCAAGGAAGTTTATCTCCCCTTCAAACGGCCCTGTGATGGAGCCAACCTATCTGTGACTCTCATTGCTCACTTCTCATGTTAGATTCCACACTTGTATTCACTCTTTTCCTCTTAGTTTCTTCCTAGAGGCAACTCAATTGTTGTTCTTCCCTTCCTTCCCAATCATCTGCGGATCTTTTTTACAGCCTTTGTTGTACAGGGGTCATTCTGGCAATTTCCAGTCAGCTTTCAATGAGAATTGTTCCACGTATAGATTTTGATGTTTTCACGGGGAAGTGATCTCCACATCTTCTTACTCTGCTATATTGATCAATCTCCAAGGTTTTTTATTTTAATAAATTACTGCTAATTTTAATATGTTCTTATTCAACTTTTTCTACATTACAACCTAAAAATCTAAAGAAATAAATTTAGGGTTATTTAGGTACTCTTTGGGATAAGAAGATAAGAATTTTAGCATTTTCAAAAGGATGGTAATAGTAATAAATGGTAATTAAACATTTCATCATATTATGTAGTGAACCAGAATATTTAACAATCTGTGATTCAAACTTTAGCATCTGAAACCTCTCTGTTAAGATATTTATGCAACCCATAAAGAGCAACCCTTTGTTATACATGAGTATTACAAGAAATTGAAGCATTTAGAATATCGAGTAGAAAAACATTGGCCACTCATTGCCATTGCCTTTTTCATATAAAAGGATCCTTATTTAAAAGTTCAAAATTTCACCAGTGTCACTGAAGATTTAAGCAAAATGAAAACATTATTGCAAATGAAAACAAACTTTTAAAAGTCTAAATAAGAAAGGTGTTGTAAAATGTGTTTATCACATTTCCAGTTTTCTTGTTGTAGAAAACATTGAGTCATTTTTATTTGGCTTATAGACTACCCAGCCCAGTATTCTGCCTATACGTGTGGTACTAAAAGCTATTATGAAAGGCCATAGTCAGCTTAAGGTACTTCACTTTCTGCAGGTGAATTCTACTTTTCCTTTACAATTGATCTTAGCTTCATTATTTAGGAATTTTTAAAGTCTTTTTTTATTGTGTTTTAAAGTGTGTCTATTCTTGAGGCTCTAAAACATAAAGTAGTCATTCAAAAGTACTTTGAAATACGTATACAATTATGTGCCCTCTTAGGTGAAAGATTACATTATTTGATCTGTTGACAGTTTGCTTTCTCCTGCTCCAAAGTATGTGACCTCATTCTAACATTCTGGAAGTTGGTGACTAAATGCATGCTTATCTTGCTCTTAGTGTCCTTATTTTACCCTGATGAACTAAAAATTCCAAAAGGTCTAGGGCGTATTCTTAACTGTAAGTGTGTAAATAAACAAGCATTTTTCAGAAAGAATGGTGAGAATGCTTAGGTCCTTCAAATATGATAGAATACTCATAATAACTAAAATTAATCAAATACAAATACTGGGAAATATTTGAAAACCAAAAATAGCTTCTTTAAGAAAGTGGCCTAAAGGAAACTTACTAGAATGCCTAAGTCATAGTATACAAAGTATGTCCTTGCTGGTTGGACAGATTAGTAGATAGTTTGAATATATTTTGCGTCTTAGTCATCATTGAATAAAATATTCAGGAGAATCCCATTTTCAATTTTTCTCTTCAAAGAGATGCACTGTATATATTAGAGTATATTCTAAAAAACGTGCAAGGCATTATAGACTTATAGATAAGCTAAAGGGAAATCTGTGATATTGCAAATTGTAGTCCTGAGACAAATGAAAGAACACCAAGTTGAAAATATCCCTTAAGAATAGTTTGCAAATATGCCTCTATAACAGAGGATTTAGATACCTTTATGTGACATCCTTTTATGAGAATGCTTTTAATATGGGATTCCTGGTGGGCTTCCGTCTATGGGGTCTCACAGAGTCAGACATGACTGAAGCAACTTAGCAGCAGCAGCAGCAGCTTGGAGTACACATTGATGAATCTTCTAAATGATCTGAGAGAAAGGGAGAACTGAACAGAGCAATCTCACTCATAACCAATTATGCCCTATATTCCTCGTTAGAGCCAGCCCCATGGACTTCACATACATCTTAATTCTTTCTATGATATATTTCACTGATACCAATAAAAATCTTTTTCAAGAAAATTTTCTCCCTACTACCTTCAGCTGTTTATTTATACAAAATCATGGCATAAGAAGTTGATTCTTTTCTCTGTTAGGGTTTGCAGAGTTCTGAAATTCAAGTAACATGGAAATTGCAGTAAGGTTTAAACAATGCAGTTTCTTTAGAAAATGTCCATTTATCTCCACAGAGTGTGGTAGATTAAAGCTTTCTAAGCTTTACCTCAATAAAATAATCATAGAGAAGCTGCAACTGAAGACTTGTTAAAGTCTGGAGGAATGACAGTGAGTTAATCTTTATTAAACCTATTAAAATAAATTTTAAGAATTACTTGGCAAAAACTTAAACAATGAAACTCATATCTTTTTTCTTAATTTAACTGAAAATCTATGTTTGTAGTACAACAAAACTAAGTAAAAACCAAAGAATGCCCCCCTACTTTTTTCCCACATAATGCAATGAGAACTAGACCACCACAATATCATACAACCCTCCATTACAAAGTGCAAGATGGAAATGGAAGAATATCACTGTCATTCCAGCATGTTCCTCTTAAAAGAGGTTCTACAATACTCATTCCACAATAATCCAACTGAACTCGTCCTCACAGACAAGTTGTAAGTGGTTAGACAAGAAGACGCTTCCTTTCCCAGACCCCAGCAGTAAAGCTACAAAAGCACTGTTTTTCACTGAGCCAAAGAAGAATCTGAGGAGTCCCCAAAACTCTCAGACACAAAACTTATAAAACAAAGTTAGAAGAAGAGTTCAGGATTGTATAGACTGAGCTTAAAAATCATTCCACCCAGATAACAAGCTTTTGTGTGTTTTTATTTTTTTCCTTTGAGTAAGAGTCTCTTAGGCTTCCCAGGTGGCACAGTGGTAAAGAATTTTCTTGCCAATGCAGGAGAAGCGAGAGACTTGGGTTCAAGCTTTGGGTCAGGAAGATTCTTTGGAGTATGAAATGGTAACCCGCTCTAGTATTCTTGTCTGGAATATTCCATGGACAGAGGAGCCAGCAGGCTACAGTCCATGAGGTCACAAAGAATTGACCACAACTGAGTGAGCATAAACACACACATGTGCACACACACACACACACACACACACACACACACACACATTCCTCCACATGGAGAATATGACTCAGATAAGGGATTATGAGAATAAATGGTATGGGAGCTTCATGGAGCATTCAAGGTCCTTTAAGGACCTTATATCCAATAAGGATATAACCAATATTTTTACCACTCTTCCTTCCAAATCCCCCTGAATCCAGGTTTACTTTAGAAATGTAAACCTACTTTAGTCTGTTGCAAGAACAACAGTTTAGGAAGTAGGCTTGCTTCTTTCCTGGTAAAAGTATAATATGCAGAGTAATAGCCTGCAATTATTGTTTCTTAAGAAGCTTAAATAAAACAGGGTATCTTTTACTCAAAATTGCCAGTACTTAGGTAGCTATATATATAGAGAGAGAAAAAAAAATGGAGCTTAGAGGTAGAGACCGCATATGGTCTATTTCACTTCAGGCAAGAGTGGATATTGAAGCTAGAGTTCAATTTTTAGCTCTAGATTCCTCAGATTTTAGCACCCCAAGAGCAGAGAAGCTAAATCACAGCTTTCTGAAGGAGTGTCTTTCTGTCTCTATTGAAAATCTGTCTGTACTTGAGGCAGTGGGAAGAGCTACCTCCACAGGACAATCAGATAATTTCCAAGTGAATGCTGCCTGAAGCTTCTAGCATTCCCACCTCCACCTCTACCAATTCAAACACTTTAAAAGGGGAAAAAAAGTGAATTAGGATGTAAAACCAAACCAAAACAACTAAATCAATATAATACCTGAATATACTTTTTTGTTCACATAATGTGAATCCTTTCCCGCTTTTCCTTACTTTAATATTATCTTCATCTTGTTCTGTCTCTTCTGAGAAATTTTTAGTCATTTTTTTTGTTTGTTTGTTTACTGTTTTCCTTTGATGTAGCTAATTAAAATTAATATTCCCTATAATTAACTACCTAACAATCAATAGCAGAAAATTACCATTCAAAATTTTCTTATCAGTATTGCATGCTTTTCACTAGTACCCTAAATAAGAGTTCACCCTCCCCTGTAACATGTTCATAAATTCACTTTATTTTGGTTCTCATATTTTTCCCTTTATAGGAATTATCTACTCCTTAAGATTGCCAATAAATTATACAAAGGAAAACACAGAGCTGAAATTTTACAAAAACTCCAACATTAAAATGAGGCCTGTGCTGCTATAGCCATCTTTATTATAGAATCTTTCCTTTCCATTATTCAGGCTAATAAGCAAGAAAAGTTATAGATAGATGGGGGAAGAGGGGTAACTTGGTATCTGCAGCATCTCTGGGACCAAAAAGTCTGATTAGAAAAACCAAAGCATTCTTCTCTGAAGTCCTAACACTGTGTCTAGTCTCTGATGTATTGGTCTGATTGTCTGAAGCCCTTAAATCGACAGGGAAGTAATTGAAAGGGCAGAGATACTTGCTGTAGTGTTAATCATGATGATAAGTTCTTCCATCTGGCCACACTGAACTACCTGGCAGAACTGGGCCCCACTAGCTAGTGACAGTTGTCATAAAACCCCTAGAAGGGAAGATGTCTCTATAAAAGCAAAACTACAAATTAGTTCTGGGAGCATAAATGGATCTACCAAGGTAGAAAAGGGACTGACTACCTGGGATTTTTTGAGATGCGGGAAATCATGGGATGGACTCTTCTTTATCTGTAGCTCCAGTTCAGCAGACTGTTGTACGGCTGCATCGACCAGCCGCTGGAAGCTGCTGAAGTCCTTGTATTCCCCTGTCACCACAGGTTTGGGAGAAGGTATAAGCAAGGGCCCACTGGTGAAAATCACGACCTTTTCACTTATCTGGGCCTTAGGGGTGAGCCTCTGGCCTGGGACCAACTCTAGATTGGGCAGTTTCCCTGATCCCTGGATCATCAGCGAGGGGCTCAAGGACAGACATTTTATCTTGTCTGCAGCTCTGAGCCCTGACTTGGCATCAATAGATAGATAGCCACCCTGCTGGTGGGTCACATCAGCAGCACTGCCTTTTTGGTGATATATGGTAACCTGGTTGGGGTCACTTACATCCTCTAAAAGCATTTCCGGAAGAAAGCGTCTGCGGGCATTGATGAACCAGTTAGAAAACTGCGGAAAAGACAAACTTATCTGCTCCGTCAGCATACATTTCTCTACCTTTGAACGATAGGCTTTAAACCGGTGCTCATACAGCCAGACATGGAAGATCTTCACCAACTCAGTTGGCAAGTACCCTTTCTGCTTCCTTTTGCCCTTTTTTGAGACAAGAACCTCATCTGTAGCACTATGACTATTCGACTCCATTTAGGTGCCCTGACCCAGGCTTTGGGTCTCCATTGGACTTTCTTCAGCAGCCTCCATGTTCTAGAGGCCTGTCTTCACTATCCAAGGAGCCAAGGATGGCCGACCTAGCACTAATGTAGGAATGGGAAAGCCAATGAAGAAAGCATGGCTAGGTCACCAAGAGAAAGTCTCACCTTTTGCTTCCTAGACTGATTAACAGTGTTGGTAACACTGTTGAGCCAGTTGGCTTTGTGACGTCACATCCTTTCAGCCCCTGGCGCTGCCCTCCCTCCACTTCCTGTTTTCCGTTTCCTTTGTTCTTATAGATCAAAATGTACTTGTTTTCAACCCATCAGTTTATACAGCTCTGAAGAATTTTATTTCTCTGTTGCTGTCACCAGTTACTGCTAACTAATGAACTGTCTTTTGCCCAAATGTGTGATGGTTCTCTTTGAAGAATCAGTCAGAAATTCAGGGATTCTTTTTTATTTTATTTTTTTATTTTGTAAATATGGAACAAGATAGGATATAAGAAGTAATGGGGATCACAGGCTTAGATTATTTAAATATTTAATATTTTACATATGCTGCAATCACCTCTCCCAAATTAGAGGAAAATAGTCTGTAAATTCTAAATTTTAACTGCAGATAGATAAAACAAGGATCAGCTCTTTCAGTAACACTCTCACCCACTTACAGGACAATCATGAACTCTGACTTATCAAAGATAGGTATGGTATTACTTATTCTTAATTTTAGAAACTTTTCAGGGGAAACTCCTGGCCATCTTAAGCATCATATATTGTACACAGTTTCTATTTGATAGAGACAATATCCTTTTAACCTTAAGAATTCTTATTTGCTGTCACTGAGCTGGACATCAAAACATTTTCTGCTTGATCCTTTGACTATTGGTAACCTTACTAGTGCTCACTTTCATGGCTTAAAATTTGCTGTTAGGGAGACCTATTGGGGTACACAATCAAATCTAATAGCTGTCTTAACAAAGCTCCCAATAACCACTAAGTATATATGTTGGCTTTGAGACGGCAATGACACCCCACTCCAGCACTCTTGCCTGGAAAAATCCCATGGATGGAGGAGCCTGGTAGGCTGCAGTCCATGGGGTCATGAAGAGTCGGAAACAACTGAAAGACTTCACTTTCACTTTTCACTTTCATGCATTGGAGAAGGAAACGGCAACCCACTCCATTGTTCTTGCCTGGAGAATCCTAGGGAAGGGGGCGCCTGGTGGTCTGCCGTCTATGGGGTCACACAGAGTCGGACACGACTGAAGCGCCTTAGCAGCAGCAGCAGCATATATGCTGGCTACAAGTGAAAGTCTTTCTTGGAATACTATAGAAGAGAGTGCTACTACTTCCATTGGTCTTTTGGGCTACAGGAACACAGAAGATTAGATTTTCCATTCATAGTGAGAACTCACTTCCTATAATTATTTCCCAGCAATATAGTTATGACCCATGTTCACTGAGACTGCTCTTGTGTGTCAATACAGTTTCTAATACCTTACCATCCCTCACTTGTTGCTTCTATATGCTCTTTATATTTCTGGGATTCAGATTTATGCTGAAGGATTGCCCAAATTGTACATATTTAAATCACATGATTTATTCTCAGTGATCTAGGTCTTTAATTTTAATGACTCCTTTATTAATCCCTCTAAAGAGGAATATCATAGTGGTTCAAATTATCCACCATAAACTTGGACATTGTTTTTTCCTTTAATAACAGATATAGAAACATAGAAAAATATGGAAAGAGGTGAAAAACTGAGAATAAACCTACCAGTTTTGATACAAATGCCTCTTTGTTTCACATTGCAACAACTTGAATGAATAGAAGATATATTTTCTTTTTTTCAAGTTGTTGATGATATAAAATATGAATTAAGAACATCTCTATGAAAAAGGTGGATTGCTTCCACTTATTTATTTAAAGTTTCTAAGGAGCTCAAATTATCTAGTTTCTATGGAATTTTAGCTTCATTTATTACTTCTTTTTATATAAACACGATGGGATTTTATGGGAAACAATTAGTTTTGTATATTTATAGGCACTGATTTATGTCCATATGACTCTTAAAAGTGAATTCTTATGATTGTGTAATGAATGGACATTGTATTATGCTTGAATATGCATCTGAATTCTCAAATTATGTAAGACTATGACAAGACTGAGATCTTTTACATATTGTTGCATATGATTTCTGCACAGCTGGTGAAGAACCCGCCTGCAATGTGGGAGACCTGGGTTCAATCCCTGGGTTGGGAAAATCCCCTGGAGGAGAGAAAAGCTAACCACTCTAGTATTCTGGCCTGGAGATTCTATGAACTGTAAAGTCCATGGGGTCCAAAGAGTCAGACACGACTGAGTGACTTTCACTTTTATTTGGAGAAGGGAAAGACTACCTACTCCAGTATTCTGGCCTGGATAATTCCATGGACTCTGTAGTTCATGGGGTTGCAAAGAGTCAGACATGACTGAGTGACTAAGCACAGCACATAGCACACACTTATATGTGGGCCTCCTGGTGATTCAGTGATATAGAATCTGCCTGCCCATGCAAGACACACAGGTTCAATCCCTGGGTTGGTAAGATACCCTGGAGAAGGAAACAACAACCTACTCTAGTGTTCTTGCCTGAGAAATCCCATGGACAGAGGAGATTGGTGGGCTACAGTTCACTGGATCCCAAAAGAGTCTGACTTGACTTAGCAACAACAACAATTTATATTAATTATATATGCATATATAAATTTTATGACTTACATGTATGTGTATATATACACATATATATATATATACATACTTTATAGATATGGCCACTCACTATTTCTAAGTTATATATCTATGTGTTTGTACATATCTATATTAAAAACCAGAGACATTACTATGATTTTTCCAATAGTCATGTATGGATGTGACAGTTGGACTATAAAGAAAGCTGAGCACCAAGGAATTGATAATTTTGAACTGTGGTGTTGGAGAAGACTCTTGAGAGTCCCTTGAACTTCAAGGAGATCCAACCAGTCTATCCTAAAGGAAATCAGTCCTGAATATTCATTGCAAGGACTGATGTTGAAACTCCAATACTTTGGCCACTTCATGCAAAGAGTTGACTCATTGGTAAAGACCCTGATGCTGGGAGGGATTGGGGGCAGGAGGAGAAGGGGACGACAAACGATGAGATGGCTGGATGGCATTACCGACTGGATGGACATGAGTTTGAGTAAACTCTGGTAGTGGGTAATGGACAGGGAAGCCTGGCATGCTGCAGTCCATGGGGTCCCTAGGAGTCAGACACGACTGAGCGCCTTCACTTTCACTTTTCACTTTCATGCATTGGAGAATGAAATGGCAACCCAATCCAGTATTCTTGCCTGGAGAATCCCAGGGATGGGGGAGCCTGGTGGGTTGCTGTCTATGGGGTCGCACAGAGTTGGACATAACTGAAGAGACTCAGCAGCAGCAGCAGCAGAATAACTGAGCTGATGTATCTTACAAAAAATAAATGGACCAAAAAGCAAGGAAGAAATAACACATAAAAGATAATATCACAGAAGCATCCCCAATAAGACTTATGGATCTTACAGCTTAAATAGTTAAAATTTCCCATTGATAGAAAGTAAAGGAAATGTTTTCTAATTCTTATTAAATCTGGCATAATACTGATGTGAAAATATCACAAAGCATGAGAAAAGAATCATAGCAGATTCACTTATCCTTCAAAAATACTCTTCAATAGTACATGAACCAAGAACTTCCAGATGTACAAGATAGATTTAGAAAAGGCAGAGTAACAAGAGATCAAATTGCCAACATTCAATGGATCATACAGAAAGAAAGGATATTCCAGGAAAACATCTACTTCTGCTTCATTGCCTACACAAACTCCATTGACTGTGGATCACAACAAACTGTGGAAAATTCTTAAAGAGATAGGAATACCAGACCACGTTATATGTCTCCTGAGAAACATGTATGTGTGTCTAGAATCAATAGCTAGAACTGAACATGCAGAAGTGACTGGTTCCAAATTGGGAAATGAGTATGACAAGGCTGTATATTGTCACCCTGTTTACTTAACTTATATAAAACACGAACTCTGAATAAATAGAATTTAGATTTATATAAAATATAAAACACTTTAGCAAATAAACTTCAATTCAGGAATTAAGTCTTGATTTAACATTACTATATAGAGTCCCTTGGACTGCAAGGAGATCCAACCAGTCCATCCTAAAGGAGATCAGTCCTGGGTGTCCATTGGAAGGACTGATGCTGAAGCTGAAACTCCAGTACTTTGGCCACCTAATGTGAAGAGTTGGCTCATTGGAAAAGACCCTGATGCTGGGAGGGATTGGGGGCAGGAGAAGGGGACGACAGAGGATGAGATGGCTGAATGCCATCACCGACTCGATGGGCATGAGTTTGAGTAAACTCCGGGAGTTGGTGATGGACAGGGAGGCCTGGTGTGCTGCTATTCATGGGGGTCGCAAAGAGTCGGATACGACTGAGCGACTGAACTGAATTGAACTGAACATTCCTTAGGATTATATAATAATAATGTATCCTGCTTGAGGACAGTTTCTGGAAAAAACCTTCCAGCTAATCTTGTAATCTTAGAATGTAAATTATGGGAGTGGAGCTAGTAAGGTCTTTACAACCTGCAGACATTCTTTTGATTCACTGTAATAATTAATTGAAAGGTATATAACTCCATTGCTAACACTAGCAAGCAGGTACTCTTTTTGCCCCCTTCTGACGTCTATGTCAGAAGCTTTCTCTATCTCTTTTATACTTTAATAAACTTTATTACACAAAAGCTCTGAGTGATCAAGCCTCGTCTCTGGCCCCGGACTGAATTCTCCTCAGGAGGCCAAGAATCCCGGTGTCTTTTGTGGTTCAGGAACAACATTTCAATATATGTATGAAAATGACTATATATTTAGTAATTTATGTATTTTTATATAGTAATTTGCATTTTTGCAATGAAATGG